GAAGAATTACAGGTACGTGTTCCATATAGTGAAGTAAGCCTTGTATTCAGTCAAAAAGTGTCTGATTGCACCATAACATTTGTGCCACTCCTGAATCAGTGGCCATATCTTGTCAAGAAGGTTGTTGTTGTAGCTCATATTGTTCTGAGCTTGGTAAAAATTATGACAATTTTTTTTCTTCTCAAGTTTAATATTTTAAATTATTTCTCTATTCAAGATATTAAACCTCTATCACTTGTCTATTGGTAAAGTATTTTGCCATTCCGTAGGCTGCCTCTTTGGTCTAATGATGGTGTTCTTTGCTGTAAAGAAGCTTTATTGTTTCATGTCACCCATTTGTCAATTATTGATATAATGCCTGTGCTACTGTGCTCCTGATCAGAAAATTCTTTGCTGTGACAATGAGTTCAAGGATATTCCATACTTTCCCCTCTGTCAGTTTAATGTTGAGTCATATGCTGAGGGGATTTTAGTTTTGTACAGGGTGAGAGATAAGGATCTTGCTTCATTCTTCTATGTGTAACTCTCCGGTTTGACCAGCACCATTTGTTGAATTGCCATCTTTTCTCTAGTGTGTATTTTCCTTTCTTTGTAATAAACCATGTGTCTATAGATGTGTGGACATATGTCTGGGTCCTCAAATAATCCTATTATTTACATTAATCTGTCATTTCTTCTCATGTGTAACATTTAGAAATCATTTAGTTATTGTCCATGTAATTAGATATTTATTGATGTGCTATAGGTAATAGGAGAATTCTACCAGACAGCAAATGTTTTTACAGGTTTCAATTATTTTTACATCTTTCCCTCTAGCTTAGCCTAGGGTCAGTCTTAATCAATGCTCATTGTACTCTGAGGGAAGTGAATCCTGAGTATTAGGACTTAATATCATCAATAGATTCTCAGCACTCTCAGAAAAATATTTCACAATTTAAAATGTAGTTGAATTAGGTACCCAGATCCAGAAACTGCAAAGACTGTTTGAGGAATTGCTTTTGTAATTCTGTTTCTGGAAAACCAATTGCAATACCAAACTATGCACTGGCATTCTGAAGTGCCATAAATTTGAGAGTGTGGTGGCAACATGGTCAGATATAACCTTGTCTGTATGGTTGCAGAAAATAAATATAATATTTGAGTATCTTTGGTTTGAAATGGAGACAGCTGTAATTTTTTTAAGTTCAACATTTCTTAATTAGATGGGGGAGAAAATAGATTTTAAGCCACATTATAGGAAAGATACAGGAGATAAAAATGTGATTTTTTTTTAAATGAAGTATTAGAGGACTAGTATAGGGCAAAGTGGGACCGTAGTAAGCATGAGAAACACTGGATTCAGTAAGTGGAACACACTTCACTGACTAATAGAGCATGAATGTGCTCAGTCATGATACATAATGTTCTTTTATCTTGGGCACTGAAAGAGAGGTGCAAAGCAAAGAGTATTTCCAGAGAAGTAGCACTGCAAATAATTACTTCACATATGTTCACAGATAGTGAAATATTATGCTTGCTGTGGGATGTTCTGTATGTCCTGTGAGAGCCCGTTCTTGGGTTCCTCGTGGCTTTACCCAGCAGGTCCGCATAGAGGATGATTAGGACCACGGGCCTGAGTGCAGGTGTCTGAGATGGTCTGCACTTGGCTGTGCTGTGGGATGGTCTGTATGTCAAGTTGCTCTGATTGGTCAATAAATAAA